CCACCCTCTGTGTATGTGGCTGGCGCTATAACCACTGTGCTACTGGTGCGGAGACATATAGGGGGTTTTTTTGTTTTTTTTTTAAGCAGGCCAGGGCTGGGTTTGAACCCAGCATATAGTCAGTACCCCACCCATTGAGCTATGGATCCCACCCTAATTTTATTTTTTTGAGAAAGAGTCTCACTATGTCCCCCTCAGTAGAGTGCTGTGGCTTTACAACTCACAGCAACCCCAAACTCTTAGGCTTAAGCGATTCTCTTGCCTCAGCCTCCCAAGTAGCTGGTGCTATAGGTGCCTGCCACAATGCCCAGCTATTTTTTGTTGCAGTTGTCATTGTTGATTAGCTGGCCCGGACCGGGTTTGAACCTACCAGCCCCAGTGTATGGGGTCGTAATCTGCTGTAACGACTGTGTTACGGGGCTGTAACCTGCTGTAACCACTGTGTAATGGGCGCTGAGCACACTCCCCTCATTCCCCCATTTTTAGAGATGAGTTCTCGCTCCGGCTCAGGCTCATCTCAAACCTGTGAGCTCAGGCAATCCACCCATCTTGGCCTCCCAAGTGCTGGGATTACAGGCATAAGCCACCATGCCCAGCCTATAGGAAGAACTTTTGAAAACTGAGGGAGAAAAAAAGACCAAAAATCCTACTGCAAATGACACAAAATGATAATTTAAGGGAAAAAAAAAACATAAAAATGAAGACCAGGCATGTTGGCTCACACCTACAAGCCCAGCACTTTGGGAAGCCTGAGAAGGGAGGAATGCATGAGCCTAGGAGTTGAAGACCAGCCTGGATGACAGAATGAGACCCACATCTCTATCCCCCCACCAAAATAAATGTTTCTTATAAAAAGAGAAATAAAAATTAAGACTATACTGAGATACAATTTCTCACCTATCAGATTGGCAAAAATTCCAAAGCTTGAAAATATACTATATTAGTGGGGCTGTGGGGAAACAGGCACTCATATAGAGAGTACTTATGCAAAAATAGTGTATTTTATATATATATATAAACTCCTATAGAGATTTATCCTTATCTAACCAAAACTGTGCACCCTTTTGTCTTTTGACCCAGCAATCTTGGTTTTAGGAATTTACCCTGTAACTATACCTTCAAAAACATAAACATACATATATCTAAGGTTATACATTAAAATATTATTTGTAGGCCAGGTGTGGTGGCCCACGTCAGTAATCCTAGCATTCTGGGAGGCCAAGACAGGAGGATCCCTTGAGCTTAGGAGTTCAAGACCAGCTTGAGCCAGAACGAAATCCTGTCTCTAAAAAAAAATAAAATATTGAAGGCTCAGTGCCCATAGCACAGTAGTTATGTTGCCAGCCACATGCACCGAGGCTTGTGGGTTCGAACCTGGCCCGGGCCAGCTAAACAATAATGACAACTACAATAAAAAAAAAATTGCCAGGTGTTGTAGCAGGCACCTACAGTCCCAGCTACTTGGGAAGCTGAGGCAAGAGAAGTGCTTAAGCCCAAGAGTTGGAAGTTGCTGTGAGCTGTGGACTTCATGGCACTCTACCCAGGGTGACATAGTGAGACTCTCTCAAAAAAAAAAAAAAAAAAAGTGAAAGTAAATTAGAGCTTCTTTAAGAAACTGCTGAACATAAAACAATACCAAAAAGTGCCTTTTTTTAGAGAGACAGACTTTTGTTTTGTCACCCTCAGTAGAGTGCTGTGGCATCACAGCTCACAGCAACCTCCAGCTCCTGGGTTTAGGAGATTCTCCTGCCTTAGCCTCCAGAGTAGCTGGGACTACAGGTGCTCGCCACACGCCTGGCTATTTTTTTTTTTTTTTTTTTTTTTTTGCAGTTTTTGGCCAGGGCTGGGTTTGAACCCACCACCTCTGGCATATGGGGCCAGCACTCTACTTCTTTGAGCCACAGGCGCCACCTGATGCCTCGCTATTTTTTTGTTGCAGTTTGGCTGGGCCAGGGCTGGGTTTGAACACGCCACCTTCAGTATATGGGGCTGGCGCCATACTCACTGAGCCACAGTCACTGTCCCCTTTTTTCTCATTTCTTTTTTGAGACAAAGTCTCAAGCTGTCACCCTGGGTAGAGTGCCATGGCATCATCATAGTTCACAGCAATCTCCATCTCTTGGGCTTAAGTGATCCTCTTGCCTCAGTTTTTCTATTTTTGGTAGAGAAGGGGTCTCGCCTTCACTCAGGCTGGTCTCAAATTCCTTAGCTCAAGCAATCCACCCACCTCGGTTTCCTAGAGTGCTAGGATTACAGGTGTGAGCCACCACACCTGACCTCAAAAAGTATCTTTCTGGAGTGGTACCTGTAGCTCAAGTGGCTAAGGCGCAAGCCACATACACTGGAGTTCACAGGTTCAAATCTGGCCCAGGCCTGTGAAACAATGACAACTACAACAAAAATAGCCGGGTGTTGTGGCAGGTGCCTGTAGTCCCAGCTACTCAGAAGGCTGAGGCAAGAGAACTGCCTAAGGCCAGGAGTTGGAGGCAAGGCACTCTACCCAGGGTGATAGCTTAAGGTTCTGTCTCAAAAAAAGAAAAAAAGAGCTTGAGACTCTTTTTGATTCTTCTCATTGGGATACTACTAAACAACTAGCAGTGGGATTTGTATTTCTGCCCAATCTCCTAGCTTCAGAATCAGAGAGTGATTCTCTGATTTTCTCTACAGTTCTAACTACTTCAATTTATTTTACACATATACCATAATTCTCCGCATTATTATACTATGGCTTACTTAGAGGAACAAGTTCCACTAAAGGGAAAGGGAAGAAATATCTTTATCCTACCACTGATATTATTGTCCTTCTTTTCTTTTCTTTTTTTTTTTTTTGCAGTTTTTGGCCAGGGCTATTATGAACCCGCCACCTCCGGCACATGGGGCCACACCTTACTCCTTTGAGCCACAAGTGTCACCCTGTGCTTTTTTTCTTTAAGAGACAGGGTCTATATTGCCCAGGCTGGTCTTGAATGCCTCCAGGTAGTAGAGATTATAGGCATGAGCCACTAGACCTGGTCATTACTGACATTCTTTTTTTTTTTTTTTTTGAGACAGAGCCTCAAGCTGTCGCCCTGGGTAGCACGCTGTGGCATCACAGCTCACAGCAACCTCTAACTCCTGGCTCAAGCGATTTTCCTGCCTCAGCCTCCCAAGTAGCTGGGACCACAGGCACCCACCACGTCTGGCTATTTTTTAGTTGCAGCTATCATTGTTGTTTGGTGGGCCTGAGCTGGATTTGAACCCGCCACCTTAGGTGTATGTGGCTGGCGCCTTAGCCACTTGAGCCACAGGTGCTGAGCCCAGACATGATTTCTTATTAAGGTACTTGAAGTACTTATTAGTTCTAAAGAGAAATCTCATTTTTTTTTTTTTTAAAGTCTAACCACAGGCTAATCACACTATTCCTGCTCCATCTCAGCTTTGTTCTAAGACCAGGGTGGTATGTTCATGTCATGTGTTCAGTGGGCAATCAGTAAGCACCAGTTAATTTTATTTTGATTTGATACTCTTTTTTTTTTTGAGACAGAGTCTCACTGTGCTGTCCTCAGTAGAGCTCCTTGGCATCACAGCTCACAGCAACCTCAAACTCTTGGGATTAAGTGATTCTCCTGCCTCCACCTCCCAAGTAGCTGGGACTACAGGCCCCCGCCACAGTGCCTGGCTATGTTTTTGTTGAGCTGCCTCCACCTCCCAAGTAGCTGGGACTACAGGCACCCGCCACAGTGCCTGGCTATGTTTTTGTTGTAGTCGTCACTGTTGTTTGGCAGGCCCAGGCCAGGTTTGAACCTGCCAGCTCTGGCATATGTGGCTGGTGCCCTAGAGCAGCAGTTGTCATTATTTTAGCTGGCCAGGGCTGGGTTTGAACCCGCCAGCCTCAGTGTATGTGGCCAGTGCCTTACCCACTGAGCTATAGGCACCGTCCAGATTTGATACTCTTACAATTCCTTTAGGATCAGATTCACGGGGCTTACTGCTTAATTTCAAAAAGTTTATTTTTCTTCTTTGATCAACTTCTACTTGTTTGCTATTAATATTCACCTAAGACTTATTTCCACTGTACTTACTACTAAAGGAACCCAAACGGTCCATTCCCTAATTGGCAAAGACAGCTGCTTTAATCTTCCTCAGTGCAGAGCTTCTTCAAGCTTTTAGAACTGTACAACACATATACACGAAAACTTGATGAGACTCTGTGAACAAACAAAAATGGCACACAGATCAGACAAGAATTCAAAAAGACAAGATAAAATATACTTAGCTCTACTACATCTTAGCTTTGTAATGCTGAGCAAATTATTTTACCTTAATAAGCCTGTTTACTTCTCTGTAAAATGGGTATAATACTACCTCAGAGTTGTTGTAAGCATTAAATGTCACAAATATCATAATCCATATAAATAATATAGTATGGAGCCTGGCCCATAAGAAGCCTTCTATAAATGTTGTATATCTCTAATAAACAACTGTTGGCTTCCTCTGCCTAGTATTACTTCTCTCCTTAGCCCTCTTTCCTTTGAGGAGCTGACCCTCCTACATTTCTTTTTCTTTTTTTTGAGCCAGAGCCTCAAGCTGTTGCCCTCGGTAGGGCATCACAGCAACAGCAACCTACAGGGCATACAGCTTACAGCAACCTCCAACTCCTGGGCTCAAGTGATTCTCCTGCCTCTGCCTCCCAAGTAGCTGGGACCACAGGCACCTGCCACAACCTCTGGCTATTTTTTGGTTGCAGTCGTCATTGTTTGGCGGGCCCAGGGTTGGATACAAACCCACCAGCTCAGGTGCATGTGGCTGGAGCCTTAGCTGCTTGAGCCACAGGCACCGAGCCCCCTCCTACATTTCTTACGGTACTGGTAGGGTTGTCAATCACAATACCCCATCCCCACAAAAGGTAAAGTCCACATCTCTTCTTCCGGAAATCTGGATCTTGAGTAAGACACAAAAGGACAGAAGGATGTTTGGGTGCAGTCACTTACTACTCAAGATTTTTTTGGTCTAGGGGCTCTGGATCTTAAGATCCCTATCCCCAAGCAGCCCAACTGTTTAGCTCTTCTCTCACTTCTCTATCTTTCTAATAAAACTTTAATCTAAGGGCAGGGTGTGGTGGCCCATGCCTGTAATCCCAGCACTCTGGGAGGCCAAGGTAGGTGGATCATCTGACCTTATGAGTTTGAGACCAGCCTGAGCTAAAATGAGACCACATCTCTAAAAATAATCAGGCGTGTGGGTGCCTGTAGTTCTAGCTACTAGGGAGGCTAAGGCAAGAGAATCACTTGAGCTCAAGGGTCTGAGGCTGCTGTGAGCTGTGATGCCACAGCACTCCACCAGGGGCAACAAAGAGAGACTGTCTCAAAACAAAAACTTTAATCTGAATGAGCTTCTGTAATAGGAAACCAAAGAATCCTATCTATTACAACATATATTTGTAGGGGAGCATAGTGACTCATGCCTGTAATCCTAGCATGCTAAGAGGCTGAGGTGGGTGGATTGCTTGAGCTCAGGAATTCAAGACCAGCCTGAGCAAGAGTGAGACCCCCATTCCTACTAAATATAGAAAATTAGCTAGGCATTGTGGCAGGCACCTGTAGTCCCAGCTACTCTGGAGGCTGAGGCATGAGGATTGCTCAAATCCAAGAGTTTGAGGTTGCTGTGAGCTATGACATCATGGCACTCAACCCCTGGGCAACAGAGTTGAGACTCTGTTTCAAAAACAGAAAACAACATACATTTGTTCATTACCCTTTCAACAAATACATAATAGGTATGTATAGTATAATGTACAAAGTTTATTCTTTGAAGCCAGAAATTAAGTATTTCACACTAAGTTAAGAAACTTCCCTCTTTAATAAATCTATAGCTTTTTATCTGTTTTTTCTGGCACTTTTCACACTGGTGAACTTGGTGAGAATTAATTCTAAACATGTATTTTCCCCCCACTTCTGACTAAATGAAATAAAAGCAGAGAATACATACGATACAAATTTGGTGGGGTTTGTTTGTTTTTGAGAGAGTCTCACTCTTCTGCCCAGGCTATAGCACCATGGTGATAGTCTAGCTCACAGCAACCTCAGATTCTTGGGTACAAGCCATCAAGCCATCCTCCTGCCTCAGCCTTCTAAGTAGCTGGGATTATGGGCATCTGCCACACACTGGGCTAATTTTTTCCATTTTTAGTAGAGAGGGGACCTCTTGCTCTTGCTGGTTTCCAACTCCTGAGCTCAGGTGATCCAGTCACCTCAACATCCCAGAATGCTAGGATTATAGGCATGAGCCACTGTGCCTAGCCAAATGTGTATGCTTTTAAAGTGCCAAGCACACCGGAGAAACTCAATAAAAACATATGCAGTACACAAGTAACTGTTAGTTCTGCAAAATGTTAATTTGCCTTTATTTATTTATTTTTTGAGACAGCGTCTCACTTTCTCACCTTCAGTAGAGTACCATGGTGTCATAACTCACAACCTCAAACTCTAGGGCTCAAGAGATTCTCTTATCTCAGCCTCCCAAATAGCTGGGACTACAAGCCCCCACCACAACACCTGGCTATTTTTTAAGAGAGGGGGGTCTTGCACTTG